GTGAATAAAGAATAATAATTGAATAATAATACTAATAATACTAAGTTCTAGAATTATATATATATATATATGTATATTGTTTTTGGTAATTGCATGATTACAATGAAATTGTTTTGTTAAAATATGTGTATAGATATATATCCATATTAATCCTAATTTTTAAGAGTGAAAAACATATATAACTGTATGATAGTGTCATATAATCTTATACAATAGTTGGATAATGATTTGAAATTGAGAGTATTATATTTAAATCAACTTAGAAATCATGAATATACACAAATATCGATATACATACACATATACATTTATATATATATATATGTGTTGAACTTATTATGATTAAAACGAATAATTTCAAGATTTATCTTTTATATTAAATAGATATGAGGATGATGATGATGATGATGGTGATGATGAGTCCTCCACCTCTTTTTCTTTGGGCTTTTCTTTTGCGCCCGGGGTTAAAAAAGAAGCTTCCAAGGTGAAAAAAAGAGGAACCAAGGTCAGAAACAGAGCTTAAGGTTGAAAAAAAAGGTTCCAAGGTTGGAAAAAAGGGTTACCCGACTGCAATTGCCTGGTCTTCAGCACAAAGAAATATATTTTTTGGGCTTCCCTGTACTCACTTGCCCAAAGGTAGTCATGGCCCCAAAAGGTTAATCTTATGTTTCTGGGTCCTTTGGGCAACTGAGTTTAACCAAGGCAAGAAGTGTTGTTTCAAAAGCACGTTTCCAGGTCTTCAACGGTCTGGTCCACCCCAAGTTCGCAGCCGCCTGCGGCATGATCTGGGCCGTGGGCCGGATCATCTACGGCCGCCCAGCCGCATCGCAAGCAGGTCTGTTGACTGTTGATGCACGAAACACATCCATTGGCAGAGGGTTATTATGCGGGTGTGTCTTGTTTTTGATGGGGAACCGTGGACAAACCTATTTTGAGAATTCGGGACCGCATTTAGAGACAGACTCATGTATTGCCATGCGTGTGGGGAGGGAGCGGATCCTGAGGCTGAGCTTATGAGGACAAATTTGCTGTTTCCTTACTTGTGTTTAAAGCAGCATTTGATTTTGAGGCGGCAAATCTTGAGCAATTGGCATGTGTCCAACAAACCAGCTGTCCTGAGCTCACCAAAAGCCAGGGTCCTGGGGCTCAAGCTAAACCCTGCAGATAAGCTGGGTTGGAAGGCTCAAGTGGCATGAAAGGCACGGCTCTGGCAGAATGCGACCCGACCATTGAGGCTATGGCTACGCCAAGAATGGCCCAAACGGCCGAGTCATTGGCGGCATGCGCCTTGGACCAACAGATCAACAGGCTCCATGCCTTTTGCTCATGGCTCGGATATGTTCACCTTATACACCAGATAGGAAGACTGCCCCGGACATATATACTTAGAGCTCAAGGCCCAAATCACAGACTAGAGGAAGCTGAAACCGTTTTATGTTGGATCAAAGTCTTCGCCACAACACCAGGATTCATGAGATGTCCGTTGGATGAATTCCGCATCGCTTGGCTTCTGTTCTATCGGCATTGTGCTTTGGCAACGGCTTACCAAACGGGTTTGTGTGTCAAAGATTCGTTGCCCATTGAAAGAACAGGCCGAACAGACCATCGTGAGGCTAGCCTGCCATCACCAACGCACGGCTTGGCAAAGCCCTACACGTATCCACATGCACTTGTTTGCACGACCCTCAAACTACTCCCTAAATTGGGGCATCACCCCATTTTGTTGCGGCAGGCGAAAAGGACCTTTGCAGCTCGCGAGCCCATTCTTCATTCACTGGTTTGAACATAGGGTCCATCCTATCCGTTCTCAGATGTGAAGGAGCGAAAAATAGCAATATATCCCAGTGCTTCCAGTTACCACTATAGGAAACATGCTTGAAAATGATGTTTTTCGCCGGATAGTCACACCTTACCTACCATGGGAACTAGAAGCACTCGGTGTGGACGCAGCCGGCTCGCTCGCTATGGGCCGGCTCGCTCGCTACATGGATTCAGG